CTCTTGACAGTGGCTTACATACCTCACTTCATAACAAGGTAGCTCTCTCGCACTTGACAATCAGGGAGATACCTCACACTTGACAAGAAGGGTACATGCCTCACTATTGACAAAGGATAGATTCTTCACTCTTATTTGACAATGGGGTAGATGAATCACTCTTGACAATAAAGTAGATGACTCACTCTTGACAATGGGGTAGATGCCAGGCAGCACGTTGATGCCGCATACGCCATCTCCTCCCTGAATGCCCATGCGCATATGACCACGGTCACCCCAGTCAACTCCCCACGAGTTGCGGATGATCCAAAACGGAGGATTTGGATCAATGCGGTTCTGGCTGCCGTCATCTCGATTGATGAAGTAGCCAATCACCAGCACCACATGGTTCAAATTGCCAGTGAAGCAAGCAGGATCCTGGTATTTGGACGTCTGGGGTAAAAAAAGGGAGAGTAAAACAAGGGTTGTCTCCAATGTCGAGGCCGCGTTCCAAAATTAAGGCAAAACGAAATGTTCTGCACACCCAAAATCAAGGCAAAATTGTATACCTGCCACCTTTGTTGCCTACCTGCAAGAGTATTGAGAGGCACCACGCTGCATGAGTGCTGCAGCGACTCACCCCATCATACTGGAAGAACGTGTCAGCCGAAGCCTCGATGTGAACCACCACTGGCTGGCGCCGCACAGCCAGCATGAGCCCGAAGTACCCCTTGAAGAGCGCTCGCTCAAATGCTGCCACTGGATATGTTTTTTCCTAAAAATACAAAAATGGGTTTGGGGTTTGAAAAGAATTGATTGAGTGAAGTAACAGAGCTCATGGTTTCATGTCCCTCCAGAAGAAAAAATATGTGTATGCTACATGGCAGAACATAAGTTTGGACCATGGCCTTTCTATTTTCAGCTGCCCGTTTCGACACGAACCGGATCCGATCCGATTGAAACCACACAATTTTAATTTGAAGCGGATTATTCAGTTTTTGGCCCAAGAGTGTCTAATCTCATCTAACAGCTGTGGACTAGGCCGTGCGGGCTGGACAATAGTACCTAATTTTCTAGCTCCAAATGCATTGGCAACCTAATAATACATATTCCTACACTACTACTCCCAGCACTCTAGCCGAACCGGTCTGACTGAACTGTGCGGGTTCGGCTTAATTGAAACACGTATGATTCGACCTAAATCGCTGAAAATAAAACCAGCCTAGTTTCCAAATGCTCCAAACCGGCCTGGTTCGCTTTGACTTGTCTGCTGGTTGATTTCGTTCAACTTTCTCCCTCGGCTTAGCAGGATAAAGGTCGAAGAAGTATCTACGACGTAACCACGTCCCGTCACAAGCTGCACTTCAATGTCACAGATTCGCATGAGGCTCACGTACTAAGGTACTAAGTGAGCACTTTCATACACCTCTCATGAATCCTCCTAGACGAGGGCATTGAGGCAAGGCTTTAGGCTTGCCTTGCTCACTTGCAGAACTCGTCAGGTACGAGTTATGACTTTTTGCTTCGGCTGAAAGAGTCAGCCGAGTTGAGCCGAATATTGCTCGCGAGCTTTTTATATCTCGCTGAAGGACTCGCTCAGCGAGCAAGCCTATTGCCTGTTTATTCGATAACAATATATCGGGATATGATGGCATGTCGCAATATGATGGCATACTGGCGGGATATCAGGTAGTGCTAGTGAGAATTGCAGGGGGGGTTTGGGGGGCAGGGTGACCTTATGTTTGGACCGATGTGGATGGCTTAACTCGCTTCTGAATAATACCTGCTTTCTACCACATGGCAAAGTGAGTGTAGCTAAAATAGGGCTGTAGCTTTAGATTCAACCCGCCTTACTTACCATGCTCTCATTACATTTGCCCTACCGGGTCACTGTCTCCTGTGAGGCCACTGCTGGCATCAAGCGTGACGAGCTTCTCAAAGGCTGAAGTGGGGGAGCCTCCAGCGGTGCACTTGTCTGCATCGGTGAGCCCCATGGCTGCAAAGAGTGACTCCACTGACAGCTGGGGAGCGGCTTGATTCAATGCGATGCCGTACGCAGCCTCCACACTCGCCACCACCGCATACGCCCAGCATGCACCTGATGAGTAGAAACAAACAAACGAGGTGAAGTACAAACTAGGAGTGGGAAACATTCCCATTTGGAGGCCCCAGCTGACCCCAGCAATGATGCCAACGGTAAAACTAAACACACCTCTGAACATGCATTACGGCATCGGATGGACTGAACACGGGGTGATGACCAATGGATGTGTGAACTTGAATGAAGCGGAGCCTTGAGAAGCTTGACAAGCATCCTCTTCAATTTCCATCCTCTTGCCACTCACTGCAATCCATCTGATTCTTGACAGGCCAGCCAAGGAAGGCGAGGGAGTCCCAGGTGTGGAAGTCACTGTTGCCCCACGAGTCCTTGTTGCCATCCGTCCATCGGTAGTCCGTGCTCACATAGCGCGAGAATGGGCTGGCTCCAGGTGGTATGAATGTGTCCGCTGATACTACGAGGCCAAGGGCTGTGATGGGAGACAAGAGATGGATGAGGCAAAGATACAGTGAAGAAGCACATATGTTGTACACTAAGGTACACATGGTGTGTGAACAGATTCATTAATGAGACCTATTAAGACGCCACAGTTTGCACAACCAGGGAAAAAACAGATTGAAACTGGAGAATTTATGCAGTATGGTGCATCCAGCATAATAAGTAGCCAAACTTATTCGTCAGGAATGTTGCAATGTTTTTGCACTGGGTTTTGAGCTGAAAACTAACTGGCTTGTCCTACATCTACATTTCACAACGGCTGGTGTAGCATGGCAGAGAGCTCACCTTGGTTTGTGGTTTGGACTGGCGCTGGTGCAGGAGGTATCTCTGCGGAAGGACAGAAGGGAGAAAAGAGAACCACAGAAGTCGCGAGATGAAAGTAGAAACAGAAACCAAAAGAACCAAATGACTCGTCACTGTAATATAGATCATCATTTCCACCTTTACCTAACCACGACTGCAGGCATCCTTCCGAAAGAATCAGCACTGGTTCTCAAAATGAATGTTTGAGGCTGTTTATCACCAACTCAGAGGTGATATAACCCGTTCCTCTCACTGCCACCATCAGTGCAATGCCATAACACCATCATCCGTTCATCTTAGACTCATCAGTTCCATTCATTCAGTCATCGCTCAAATGCTTGCCTGTTTTTACAGCAGAGTTGAGAATGGCATGCCTCTGAAAAGGCTTCACAGTGGTGGATGCAACGAAGCCAACGAAGAATGCCGGCTGCTTTCCGCTGGGCTGCAGCACCGCACACAGCGACAGCTCCCTCTGCAGCAGCGGCTGCTCTGGCTTCGCCTTGGAGTCAGCCAGAAACACCTTGATAGAGTTGTTGTTGCGAGGGTCGTAGTCCACCCATGCTGTGTAGTAGTCACCGTTGGTCAGAGTGAATGGTGAATCCACTGCAACCAATGACGTCTCCAAGCCATTTATGTTGAGGCCCACATGCTGCTCGTTTGTAGCAGCATACCCGGTATTTTGGAGCGTGTCGAATTCAATGGCTACACTCTGCTTTCCCATTCCACCATACCCTACACCATTGGATTTTCCCACTGCCTTGCCCTTTGCTACTATCACAAATGCGAAGCCATTGGAGCCGACACTACCGTCCTGGGATTGGAGAGAGAAGGTAAAGTTGACACTGAAACCAAACTCCACACCGCATCCCGTGCTCGAAGGAGTTGGGTATGCAAACAGGGTCAACGGCTTTGCCATGAACTTCCCTGCTGTTTCACGGTACGTGCCCTTGGTAAGAATGTTGAATGAAGGAAGAATCTTGCTGACAAAGCTTCGATTCCATCCTGAATGTCAGTGCATGGGAGGAGGGGACAGAAAAGAGGGGAGACAGTGAGAGCGGGGGGAAGGGGGGGGAGGTGGGAGGAGGGGGACGGGAAGGGGCGTTCGGAAATCAAACACGGATCCTTGATCCATTGAGGAGGGGGTTCTTGTTTGTGTTTTGACCCCCTAGAGGGGCAGAGTGAGTTCGGGGAGGAGAGGGGAAGTAGAAGCGGAAGAGGAAGCGGGTAAGTGACAATCAAGTAATCTCGACATGAGTGTGTTGTGGATTTGACGAAATAAGCAGAATCGTCCAACTTTCAACGGCTGAGCACTTAACAGAGGTTCAGGTCAAAACTCGACTCACTTATCATGCCTACATTGCATTGCAGTATATGTTGCAGTCACTAGGTGGAGCAGAAGAAATAATTGACCACAGGATGTTTCCATTCACAGAAGAATATTACATTGTCAAGCCTAGTGACGTTTGTGCTGTTTTTATGTAACCTTCCTCCTGTTGACTTAGCAATGGATGTGTGGTGCTCGTGTACAGAAGGCTCAGGACAAAAGAAATGCAATGTACAAACGATCCGTTACCTTGTGCATAACAGTTGGCTCTCTCAACCTGCACATATCCCCGGTTACACAAACACGTTGGGACCAAGCTGGGTCCGTCTGGATAACAGATGCCATGACCATCACAAGCATTGGTCGTGCTGGAGATGCCACAGAACGCCGTGTGTGAAAGATGTGAATTGAACAAGTGATTTGATTAGAGAGCAAACCTAGCATACATAGTTTGGGAAGAGAAGCTTGGAAGGGAAGGAGGAACCCAACCTATGGTTGGGTTGGCCTCACTTTGGGAAGTGAGGTAACCATAGGTGGGGTGGGTTGGGTTGCCCACACTTCTAAGAAGTGTGGCAACCCTAGGCCCACTTGGCTTGTGGTGGCCTCAATTGTGAAGTGAGGTACCCAAAAAGTCAAGAGGGTTGCAATTTGGGGGCTCCACCACAATTGGGTGGATTGGCACCCCAAAGTGCAAGGCTACACCCAATGTTGGGTGTAGTCCCAACCCAACTGTACACCACAATTGGTGTACAGTCACATGTGCTTAGCATGCTACAATATATATAATTCTAACACAACCCCTTAGCATGCTAACACAAGAAGAGAACAACCCCTGAATCAAGGAGCGCCCGGGCGAGCGAGGCCGATGAGGCGGAGGAAAGCGGAGTGCGCAGGGCGAAGGAGGGCCTTGGTAAAAATGTCGGCCAGGTTGGCCTCGGTCGCAATTTTGCGAACGGCAATGAGACCCTTCTGGACAAGCTCGCGAATGAAGAAATAGCGGAGCTCGATGTGCTTGGAGCGGGCATGGTAGACAGGGTCCTCAGTGAGATGGATGGTGCTGGCATTGTCGCACCAGAGAGTGGGGCATGTCTGGGGAGCGCCGAGCTCGGCAAGGAGGAAGCAGAGCCAGCGGGACTCCTGAGCGGCCATGGTGCCGGCGTAGAGCTCGGCCTCGCAGGTGGAGAGAGAGATGGCGGAGGAGCGGGTGGAGCGCCAGCTGATGAGGCCGCTGCCAAGGGTGAAGCCGTAGCCCTGGGAGGAGCGGCGGTCCGGCTGCGTGTCGGCCCAGGAGGAGTCGCTGAAGCCCGAGAGGAGAGGAGGGGAAGAACCGCCGAGGGTGAGGGCAAGGTCCTTGGTCCCTCGAAGGTAGCGGAGGACCCGCTTGGCCGCCTTCCAGTGCTCCTCACTGTGGCGGCCGGTGCCGACGAAGCGAGCGAGCACGCTGATGGGATAGGCGAGGTCGGGGCGGGTGCACATCATCGCGTACATCAGGGACCCAACGAGCTCGGCATAGGGGTGAGGGGAGGAGGTGGGAGAGGTGGGTGGGGCGAGTTGGTGGCTGAAGGGGAGGGGGTTGGAGACGGGCTTGGCCTGTGCCATGTCGAACTTCTCCAAGATCTGGCCGATGTAATGGGACTGGGAGAGGGTGATGGTGCGAGCAGAGCGGTCACGAGTGATAGCCATGCCCAGGTAGTGGGTGAGGGCTCCAAGATCTTTGCACTTGAGACGCTGCTGCAGGGACTGCTTCATCTGCTCCATGTCGGCCTTCGTGTCAGAGAGCAGGATCATGTCATCCACGTACACCAGGATGAAGAAGCGGCGAGGGGAGGAGCGGATGAAGAGGCTGGCGTCGGAGTGGGAGGGAGAGAAGCCGAGTGACCCTAAGGTGGCAGCCAGCTTTGCATGCCACTCGCGCGGCGCCTGCTTCAAGCCGTAGACAGGGCGACGCAGCTGCCAGACAGTGTTCTCAGGGAAGGCTGCGTGGAACCCAGGCGGCCGGCGGAGGAAAATGCACTCATGCAGGTCGCCCTGGAGGAACGCATTGGAGACGTCCATGCAGTCGATCTCCATGTTATCACGCGCACCAACGTCGAGGGTTGCGCGAAGGGTGGGGGGTTTGGCGGTGGGGGCGTAAGTGAACAAAAAATCCTCCCCATGAGTCTGTGTAAAGCCCTTGGCGCAGTAGCGGGCCTTGTAGACCGGTTCCTCGTCCGGCAGTTGCTTCACCCGAAAGACCCACTTGCCCTCGACAAGATTGGCACCGTCAGGGAGGGGAACGTCGACGAAGGAGTCGTTGCGGATAAACGCCTCGCACTCCTGGAAGATTGCTGCTATCCACTTGTCCGCGTCAGGGCATGTGATGGCCTCTTGGAAAGTGGAGGGAGTGAAGATGGTGGGGGTGGAGGTGGCGCCGAGGACGGGGAAGCCAAGGAAGTCAAGAAAGAGGGTGGCTATGAACGGAGTGTGCTGCTGGATGGCGAGGAACTCCTCGTGAGAGTCCTCAAGGAGTTGCAGGGAAGGAGGAGGAGGGGTCCCAAGGATGGGATCCAGAGATCGGGTGTGCATGCGGGGAAGGAGAAAGGGGGAGGAGCGGGAGGTGGCGCGCTGTCGCTGCGGGCGATGGGTTTGCTGCCCCTGCTGAGGCCGCTGCTGCTGTTGCTGCTGCCGTTGCTGCTGCTGCTGCTGCTGCTGCTGCTGCACCGGCTGCTGCTGCTGCTGCCATCCCGGCTGCTGCTGCTGCTGCTGCTGCTGCTGCTGCTGGTGCTGCTGCTGCTGCTCCGGCTGCTGCTGCTGCTGCTGCTGCTGCTGCTGCTGCTGCTCCGGCTGCTGCTGCTGCTGCCCCGGCTGCTGCTGCTGCTGCTGCTCCGGCTGCTGCTGCTGCTCCCGCTGCTGCTGCTGCTGCTGCTGGAAGGGCGGGAGAGTGATGGGAGGAGGGAGGGGAGGGAGGGGGTGCAGCTGAGTGGGCGGGGGAGGCGGGTGCAGCGGGGTCGTAGACGTCGGCAGAGGAGGGAGGCGGGAGTGGAGCGGCGACAGGTGGGAGGAGGGGAGCGGGGGGGAGGAGAGGCGGGAGGACGGTGTCGGTCCAGGCGAGAGGGCGAGTAGGAGGAGGGAGAGGATCAGGGGGAGGAGTGGAGTAATAGGGGACGGACTCGTCGAAGACGACGTCGCTGCTGCGGATGAGGCGATTGGTAGGAGGGTGGAGGAAGAGGTAGCCTGGGGAGTCGCGGTTGTGCCCAAGGTAGACACATTCCAGGGCACGGGGAGCAAGTTTGCCAGCGGCGCGGGAGCGATCGGCGGGTGGAATGAGAACGTAGGCCTTGCATCCCCAAACTCGAAGGCCGGCAGCGTCAGGTTTGGTGTTGGACCAAAGCTCTGTGGGGGAGGAGGAAGGGTGCTGAGGATGGGAGCGGAGATTAAGGAGAAGGGCGGCGTGGAGAAGGGCATAGCTCCAGAGGGAAGGCGGGGTGGAGGCATGAGCAATGAGACAGCGAGCTATCTTGGTGATCTCACGAATGCGGCTCTCGGCAATGCCGTTCTGCTGAGGGGAATGGGGAAGAGTGGAGGTCTGTTGGATACCGTAGGTTTTGCAGTATGTGGCGAGAGTGTTATTGATGAACTCACCCCCACCGTCAGAGTGAAGGCGGCCAATGGGGCGTTTGAAGTGATTGCGGCACAGCTCGGCCCAGTTGATGACCACTGCCGGCACCTGGTCTTTCGTATGAAGAAAGAAGGTGGTGGAGTACCGGCTGTGGTCGTCAACGAGGACGAGCATGTACCGGTGCCCCTGGCGGGAGCGGATGGGATAGGGGCCCCAGAGGTCCATGTGGACAAGGTCGATGGGGGCGGCGGCGAAGGTGGGATGACTGTGGTGGGGTGACTGCTTGAGCTTGCCGTGAATGCATGAAGGGCATGGGGGAGAGGGGGAGGAGGGAAGCGGGGGTAAGACGGGAGGAAGGCTGCGGAGGAGGCGGGAGGTGACTGTGGTGCGAAGGGCGGTGAAGTTGGGATGGCCGAGTCTGTGGTGTAAGAGAACGGCAGGGTGCGAGAGGGTAGTGGAGGAGGAGGGAAATGGGGTGATGGAGGGGACGGGAGGGGAGGAGGAGGACGGCGGGGAGGGAGAGGATACTTGAGGGGGAGGGGAGGGGGGAAGTAAAGGAGGGGGGGGTGGACCGGTGGAAGTACCAGCACAGGTGGTGACGTGGCAGTAGGATGGGCGAGGTGTGCGGAGTGTGTAGAGGCGAGTGCGAGGGCAGAGTGGGATGCGGAGGAGGAAGCGGACAGAGGAAGTCTGGTAGAGGTCACAGTAATTGGCATAACCAGGGTAGATGGCAGTGATACCAACACCTTGGAGCTCACGGTGGGAGATGAGGTTGTTGCGGAGAGTGGGGATGTGGAGGCCTGTGACTTTACCAGAGGGGAAGGCAGTGCAGGGGAGGGTGGAGAGATGAGTGCAAGGGATGGAAAAACTGGAATCAGCTCCATGAACCTGAGTGGGAAGTGGAAGGGGGGTGAGAGTACCTGCGTCCTTTAGTGCGGTTTCAGTGGCCCCACTATCAAGGACGAAGTCCAGGGTGGGGGAAGAAGGAGGAGGAGGTGACACGGGGTACTGGAAAGAAGTTTCATTGATAGCAGAGGGATACATGGAAGCGACGGATGGTGCAATACTGACATTACCGAGGAAACTGCCCGAAGTGTCGGGGACACTGGGGGGGGCAGAGGGGAGGGAACCCCAGGGAGGGGGGGGAGCAAGGGAGGCATGGGCGGCCGTAGCCGCCGTGCCGAAGGTCAGTGGCTGCTGCTGCCAGTACGGGGGAAGGAACTGCTGCTGCTGCTGCGGCGGCGGCGGCGGCGGCGGCGGTTGGAAGAAATGCGGCGGCGGCGGCTGCTGCGGCTGGAGAAACTGCGGCTGCTGCTGCTGCTGCTGCTGGAAGTACTGATGCTGCTGCTGCTGGTGCTGCTGGAATTGCTGCAACTGGGAAGGCTGGGAGGGGCTAACCAGGCGGAGGTGAGCAGGAAGGAAAGATGGGAGGGTTTGAACATCCACCAGGGAGGGGCGAGGGGTGACAGTGTTCCAGCGAGGAGGGGTGCCAGTGTTACCTCGGTTAAACCCAGGCGTCGTCGAGCGCCTTGAAGCACGTGCTGGGGGGATGGTTGGTTTGGCCGCAAGGGGTACCAGCATGGGGACCATGGCGGCGCACATACGTGCATGGGGGGAGAGTGCCAGGGCGGGCGCCTTGAGTCACAGCACCACTAGCACCGGACGGTCCTCCAGCACCACCACCACCGCCACCACGGCCACCACGGCTACCGCCACCACCACCACTACCGCCACGACCTCCACCACCACCACCCGCTCCACGGCCTCCACCGCCACCGCTGCGACCACCCTGGTTGCGCGGCTGCGTAGCATTGAGGGAGCTGGAGGAGGAGGGCTGAGGGGTGGTGAGGTTGACAACGGGGGTGCGGAGCTTGACCTCCGTGTCGATGATCCATTGGACCACGTCGTTGAGGCCGGCCATGGCGTTCGCTTCAGTGAAGGCATGGAGGCGGGACTCGTAGTCCGGGGTGAGGTTGTAGAGGAGGCGGTGGATTTGCAGTGGCTCGGGGAGGGCAGCTTGGCGTGCAGCAAGGCGGTCAGCGACCTCCTGCATGCGCCCCACGTAGTCAACTGCGCCGTCACAGGTAGCGAGGGTGATGGAGAAGTACTCCTGGAACAGGGCGCCGACAGAGCTGATGTCGCGGCGCTCGAACATTGCCTGGAGCTCGGCCCAGATGAGGGAGGCGCGCATCTCCCGAGCCTGGAAACGGCGCATGAGGGTATCAGGGAGTGCGCCGAGGAGGATGGTGCAGGCGCGGTTGTCAGCAGCGGCCCATGCAATACTCTTGGGGAGGTAGTCTGCCATGGCCGTGTTGTATTCATCGAGGAGGGCCAGGCGGTTGGCGCGTTCCGCTACTGCGAAGTCGTGATGGTGGACTGCGACCTCGTGCTCTGCCTTGCGGATGAGGTACTCGCGGCGGTCATGGAGGAATGTGGCGTCGGCGGCACTCTGGAGCGCTGGGGTAGTGGCGATCTCCAAGGTGGGTTCAGAAGGAGGAGGGCCAGGGGGAATGGGGGGTGGAGGGGATTCGCCGGGGTGACTGGGTACCGTGGGCTGGAGAGCTTGCGGGCGGCGGAGGAGGACGTCGAGGACGCAGTAGGGTCCGACGAATGCGTCCTGGAGAACGCGGCGGATGCTCCCGACGAAGGAGTGCCAATTGATCGCCGAGCGGTCCGCGGCAAGTTGGAGCTTGTCGACGGAGGAGGCGTCAATGGGAGGGGGAAGAGGGGAGGAGTGGTATCCATGAGGGGCGACGGCGGGTGGACCCGCGACGGCCTCGAGGGGGACGACGGCGGGTGGACCCGCGGCGGTCAAGGAGGAGGGCGACGGCGGGTGGACCCGCGGCGGCCAAGAGGGAGGGGGGGGGGGGGGGTGCTGCTGCAGGAGGATGGAGCTCTGCTCAGGCTGCTGCTGCAGGAGGATGGAGCTCTGCTCAGGCTGCTGCTGCTGCTGCTGTTGCTGCTGTTGCTGCTGCTGCTGCCGCTGCTGCCGCTGCTGCTGCTGCTGCCACTGCTGTGGCGCGCTGCTGCTGCTGCCGCGTGCTGCTGATGCTGCCGCTACTTGCCGGAGGGGAGGGGACAAGGGGAAGGGGGAGGATGTGAGCGCCGCGGCGGGAGGCGCAGGCAGCGACGGTGTGAGAGAGGCGACGACGAGGGGAGGAGGCGGCGGCGGCGGAAGCCGCGGCGGCGACGGGGGAGGCGGCGGCGGCGGAAGCGGCGGCGGCGGCGAGGGGGGGAGGCGGGCGGCGGCGGAAGCGGCGGCGGCGGCGACGGGGGGAGGCGGCGGCGGCGGAAGCGGCGGCGGCGGCGACGGGGGGGAGGCGGCGGCGGAAGCGGCGGCGGCGGCGACGGGGGGGAGGCGGCGGCGGCGGAAGCGGCGGCGGCGGCGACGGGGGGGAGGCGGCGGCGGCGGAAGCGGCGGCGGCGGCGACGGGGGGAGGCGGCGGCGGCGGAAGCGGCGGCGGCGGCGACGGGGGGGAGGCGGCGGCGGCGGAAGCGGCGGCGGCGGCGACGGGGGGGAGGCGGCGGCGGCGGAAGCGGCGGCGGCGGCGACGGGGGGGAGGCGGCGGCGGCGGAAGCGGCGGCGGCGGCGACGGGGGGAGGCGGCGGCGGCGGAAGCGGCGGCGGCGGCGACGGGGGGGGAGGCGGCGGCGGCGGAAGCGGCGGCGGCGGCGACGGGGGGGGAGGCGGCGGCGGCGGAAGCGGCGGCGGCAGCGACGGGGGGGAGGCGGCGGCGGCGGAAGCGGCGGCGGCGGCGACGGGGGGGAGGCGGCGGCGGCGGAAGCGGCGGCGGCGGCGACGGGGGGGAGGCGGCGGCGGCGGAAGCGGCGGCGGCGGCGACGGGGGGGGAGGCGGCGGCGGCGGAAGCGGCGGCGGCGGCGACGGGGGGGGGAGGCGGCGGCGGCGGAAGCGGCGGCGGCGGCGACGGGGGGGAGGCGGCGGCGGCGGAAGCGGCGGCGGCGGCGACGGGGGGGAGGCGGCGGCGGCGGAAGCGGCGGCGGCGGCGACGGGGGGGAGGCGGCGGCGGCGGCGACGGGGGGAGGCGGCGACGGGGGGGAGGCGGCGGCGGCGGCGGCGACGGGGGGGAGGCGGCGGCGGCGGAGGCGGCGGCGGCGGCGACGGGGGGGAGGCGGCGGCGGCGGAGGCGGCGGCGGCGGCGACGGGGGGGAGGCGGCGGCGGCGGAGGCGGCGGCGGCGGCGACGGGGGAGGCGGGGCGGCGACGGGGGGGAGGCGGCGGCGGCGGGGGCGGCGGCGGCGGCGACGGGGGGGAGGCGGCGGCGGCGGGGGCGCGGCGGCGGCGACGGGGGGGAGGCGGCGGCGGCGGGGGCGGCGGCGGCGGCGACGGGGGGAGGCGGCGGCGGCGGGGGCGGCGGCGGCGGCGACGGGGGGAGGCGGCGGCGGCGGGGGCGGCGGCGGCGGCGACGGGGGGAGGCGGCGGCGGCGGAGGCGGCGGCGGCGGCGACGGGGGGGAGGCGGCGGCGGCGGAGGCGGCGGCGGCGGCGACGGGGGGAGGCGGCGGCGGCGGAGGCGGCGGCGGCGGCGACGGGGGGAGGCGGCGGCGGCGGAGGCGGCGGCGGCGGCGACGGGGGGGAGGCGGCGGCGGCGGAGGCGGCGGCGGCGGCGACGGGGGGGAGGCGGCGGCGGCGGAGGCGGCGGCGGCGGCGACGGGGGGGAGGCGGCGGCGGCGGAGGCGGCGGCGGCGGCGACGGGGGGGAGGCGGCGGCGGCGGAGGCGGCGGCGGCGGCGACGGGGGGGAGGCGGCGGCGGCGGAGGCGGCGGCGGCGGCGACGGGGGGGGGGCGGCGGCGGCGGAGGCGGCGGCGGCGGCGGCGACGGGGGGGAGGCGGCGCGGCGGAGGCGGCGGCGGCGGCGACGGGGGGGAGGCGGCGGCGGCGGAGGCGGCGGCGGCGGCGACGGGGGGGAGGCGGCGGCGGCGGAGGCGGCGGCGGCGGCGACGGGGGGAGGCGGCGGCGGCGGAGGCGGCGGCGGCGGCGACGGGGGGGGGGGCGGCGGCGGCGAGGCGGCGGCGGCGGCGACGGGGGGGAGGCGGCGGCGGCGGAGGCGGCGGCGGCGGCGACGGGGGGGAGCGGCGGCGGCGGAGGCGGCGGCGGCGGCGACGGGGGGGAGGCGGCGGCGGCGGAGGCGGCGGCGGCGGCGACGGGGGGAGGGCGGCGGCGGCGGAAGCGGCGGCGGCGGCGACGGGGGGGAGGCGGCGGCGGCGGAAGCGGCGGCGGCGGCGACGGGGGGGAGGCGGCGGCGGCGACGGGGGGGAGGCGGCGGCGGCGGAAGCGGCGGCGGCGGCGACGGGGGGGAGGCGGCGGCGGCGGAAGCGGCGGCGGCGGCGACGGGGGGGAGGCGGCGGCGGCGGAAGCGGCGGCGGCGGCGACGGGGGGGAGGCGGCGGCGGCGGAAGCGGCGGCGGCGGCGACGGGGGAGCGGCGGCGGCGGAAGCGGCGGCGGCGGCGGCGGCGACGGGGGGAGGCGCGGCGGGCGGAGGCGGCGGCGGCGGCGGCGGCGGCGGCGGCGGCGGAAGCGGCGGCGGCGGCGACGGGGGGGAGGCGGCGGCGGCGGATGCGGCGGCGGCGGCGGCGGCGACGGGGGGGAGGCGGCGGCGGCGGAAGCGGCGGCGGCGGCGGCGGCGACGGGGGGGAGGCGGCGGCGGCGGAAGCGGCGGCGGCGGCGGCGGCGACGGGGGGGAGGCGGCGGCGGCGGAAGCGGCGGCGGCGGCGGCGGCGACGGGGGGAGGCGGCGGCGGCGGAAGCGGCGGCGGCGGCGACGGGGGGGAGGCGGCGGCGGCGGAAGCGGCGGCGGCGGCGACGGGGGGGGAGGCGGCGGCGGCGGAAGCGGCGGCGGCGGCGACGGGGGGGAGGCGGCGGCGGCGGAAGCGGCGGCGGCGGCGACGGGGGGGAGGCGGCGGCGGCGGAAGCGGCGGCGGCGGCGACGGGGGGGAGGCGGCGGCGGCGGAAGCGGCGGCGGCGGCGACGGGGGGAGGCGCGGCGGCGGAAGCGGCGGCGGCGGCGGCGGCGACGGGGGGAGGCGGCGGCGGCGGAAGCGGCGGCGGCTGCGGCGGCGACGGGGGGGAGGCGGCGGCGGCGGAAGCGGCGGCGGCGGCGGCGGCGACGGGGGGGAGGCGGCGGCGGCGGAAGCGGGGCGGCGGCGGCGGCGACGGGGGGGAGGCGGCGGCGGCGGCGACGGGGGGGAGACGGCGGCGGCGGAAGCGGCGGCGGCGGCGACGGGGGGGAGGCGGCGGCGGCGGAAGCGGCGGCGGCGGCGACGGGGGGGAGGCGGCGGCGGCGGAAGCGGCGGCGGCGGCGACGGGGGGGAGGCGGCGGCGGCGACGGGGGGGAGGCGGCGGCGGCGGAAGCGGCGGCGGCGGCGACGGGGGGAGGCGGCGGCGGCGGAAGCGGCGGCGGCGGCGACGGGGGGGAGGCGGCGGCGGCGGCGGCGACGGGGGGGAGGCGGCGGCGGCGGAAGCGGCGGCGGGGGCGGCGGCGACGGGGGGGAGGCGGCGGCGGCGGAAGCGGCGGCGGCGGCGGCGGCGACGGGGGGGAGGCGGCGGCGGCGGAAGCGGCGGCGGCGGCGGCGGCGACGGGGGGGAGGCGGCGGCGGCGGAAGCGGCGGCGGCGGCGACGGGGGGGAGGCGGCGACGGCGGAAGCGGCGGCGGCGGCGACGGGGGGGAGGCGGCGGCGGCGGAAGCGGCGGCGGCGGCGACGGGGGGGAGGCGGCGGCGGCGGAAGCGGCGGCGGCGGCGACGGGGGGGAGGCGGCGGCGGCGGAAGCGGTGGCGGCGGCGACGGGGGGGAGGTGGTGGCGGCGGAAGCGGCGGCGGCGGCGACGGGGGGAGGCGGCGGCGGCGGAAGCGGCGGCGGCGGCGACGGGGGGGAGGCGGCGGCGGCGGCGACGGGGGGGAGGCGGCGGCGGCGGAAGCGGCGGCGGCGGCGACGGGGGGAGGCGGCGGCGGCGGAAGCGGCGGCGGCGGCGACGGGGGGGAGGCGGCGGCGGCGGAAGCGGCGACGGCGGCGACGGGGGGGGCGGCGGCGGCGGAAGCGGCGGCGGCGGCGACGGGGGGGGAGGCGGCGGCGGCGGAAGCGGCGGCGGCGGCGACGGGGGGGAGGCGGCGGCGGCGGAAGCGGCGGCGGCGGCGACGGGGGGAGGCGGCGGCGGCGGAAGCGGCGGCGGCGGCGACGGGGGGAGGCGGCGGCGGCGGAAGCGGCGGCGGCGGCGACGGGGGGGAGGCGGCGGCGGCGGAAGCGGCGGCGGCGGCGACGGCGGGGGGGGGGAGGCGGCGGCGCGGAAGCGGCGGCGGCGGCGACGGGGGGGGGCGGCGGCGGCGGAAGCGGCGGCGGCGGCGGAAGCGGCGGCGGCGGCGACGGGGGAGGCGGCGGCGGCGGCGGAAGCGGCGGCGGCGGCGACGGGGGGGCGGCGACGGGGGGGAGGCGGCGGCGGCGGAAGCGGCGGGGCGCGGCGACGGGGGGGAGGCGGCGGCGGCGGAAGCGGCGGCGGCGGCGACGGGGGGGAGGCGGCGGCGGCGGAAGCGGCGGGGGGCGACGGGGGGGAGGCGGCGGCGGCGGAAGCGGCGGCGGCGGCGACGGGGGGGAGGCGGCGGCGGCGGAAGCGGCGGCGGCGGCGACGGGGGGGAGGCGGCGGCGGCGGAAGCGGCGGCGGCGGCGACGGGGGGGAGGCGGCGGCGGCGGAAGCGGCGGCGGCGGCGACGGGGGGGAGGCGGCGGCGGCGGAAGCGGCGGCGGCGGCGACGGGGGGGAGGCGGCGGCGGCGGAAGCGGCGGCGGCGGCGACGGGGGGGAGGCGGCGGCGGCGGAAGCGGCGGCGGCGGCGACGGGGGGGAGGCGGCGGCGGCGGAAGCGGCGGCGGCGGCGACGGGGGGAGGCGGCGGCGGCGGAAGCGGCGGCGGCGGCGACGGGGGGGAGGCGGCGGCGGCGGAAGCGGCGGCGGCGGCGGCGGCGACGGGGGGGAGGCGGCGGCGGCGGAAGCGGCGGCGGGGGCGGCGGCGACGGGGGGGCGGGGCGGCGGAAGCGGCGGGGGCGGCGGCGGCGACGGGGGGGAGGCGGCGGCGGCGGAAGCGGCGGCGGCGGCGGCGGCGACGGGGGGGAGGCGGCGGCGGCGGAAGCGGCGGCGGCGGCGACGGGGGGGAGGCGGCGGCGGCGGAAGCGGCGGCGGCGGCGACGGGGGGAGGCGGCGGCGGCGGAAGCGGCGGCGGCGGCGACGGGGGGGAGGCGGCGGCGGCGGAAGCGGCGGCGGCGGCGACGGGGGGGAGGCGGCGGCGGCGGAAGCGGCGGCGGCGGCGACGGGGGGGAGGCGGCGGCGGCGGAAGCGGCGGCGGCGGCGACGGGGGGGAGGCGGCGGCGGCGGAAGCGGCGGCGGCGGCGACGGGGGGGAGGCGGCGGCGGCGGAAGCGGCGGCGGCGGCGACGGGGGGGAGGCGGCGGCGGCGGAAGCGGCGGCGGCGGCGACGGGGGGGAGGCGGCGGCGGCGGAAGCGGCGGCGGCGGCGACGGGGGGGAGGCGGCGGCGGCGGAAGCGGCGGCGGCGGCGACGGGGGGGAGGCGGCGGCGGCGGAAGCGGCGGCGGCGGCGACGGGGGGGAGGCGGCGGCGGCGGAAGCGGCGGCGGCGGCGACGGGGGGGAGGCGGCGGCGGCGGAAGCGGCGGCGGCGGCGGCGGCGACGGGGGGAGGCGGCGGCGGCGGAAGCGGCGGCGGCGGCGGCGGCGACGGGGGGGAGGCGGCGGCGGCGGAAGCGGCGGCGGCGGCGGCGGCGACGGGGGGAGGCGGCGGCGGCGGAAGCGGCGGCGGCGGCGGCGACGACGGGGGGAGGCGGCGGCGGCGGAAGCGGCGGCGGCGGCGACGGGGGGGAGGCGGCGACGGCGGAAGCGGCGGCGGCGGCGACGGGGGGGAGGCGGCGGCGGCGGAAGCGGCGGCGGCGGCGACGGGGGGGAGGCGGCGGCGGCGGAAGCGGCGGCGGCGGCGACGGGGGGGAGGCGGCGGCGGCGGAAGCGGCGGCGGCGGCGACGGGGGGGAGGCGGCGGCGGCGGAAGCGGCGGCGGCGGCGACGGGGGGGAGGCGGCGGCGGCGGAAGCGGCGGCGGCGGCGACGGGGGGGAGGCGGCGGCGGCGGAAGCGGCGGCGGCGGCGACGGGGGGGAGGCGGCGGCGGCGGAAGCGGCGGCGGCGGCGACGGGGGGGAGGCGGCGGCGGCGGAAGCGGCGGCGGCGGCGACGGGGGGGAGGCGGCGGCGGCGGAAGCGGCGGCGGCGGCGACGGGGGGGAGGCGGCGGCGGCGGAAGCGGCGGCGGCGGCGACGGGGGGGAGGCGGCGGCGGCGGAAGCGGCGGCGGCGGCGACGGGGGGGAGGCGGCGGCGGCGGAAGCGACGGGGCGGCGACGGGGCGGCGGAGGCGGCGGCGGCGGCGACGGGGGGGAGGCGGCGGCGGCGGAAGCGGCGGCGGCGGCGACGGGGGGAGGCGGCGGCGGCGGAAGCGGCGGCGGCGACGGGGGGGAGGCGGCGGCGGCGGAAGCGGCGGCGGCGGCGACGGGGGGGAGGCGGCGGCGGCGGAAGCGGCGGCGGCGGCGACGGGGGGGAGGCGGCGGCGGCGGAAGCGGCGGCGGCGGCGACGGGGGGGAGGCGGCGGCGGCGGAAGCGGCGGCGGCGGCGACGGGGGGGAGGCGGCGGCGGCGGAAGCGGCGGCGGCGGCGACGGGGGGGAGGCGGCGGCGGCGGAACCGGCCGCGGCGGCGACGGGGGGGAGGCGGCGGCGGCGGAACCGGCCGCGGCGGCGATGCGCTTGCTAGAGTATTCTAGGTTGAGCTAAGCGTAGGAGGGAAATTGTGGCTGTGGGGTGGGCCCATAGAAAAATAACTTGAGGGAGGGAGAGTTAAGGTTTGAGGAACAACTAACTCTATACCATGTGAAAGATGTGAATTGAACAAGTGATTTGATTAGAGAGCAAACCTAGCATACATAGTTTGGGAAGAGAAGCTTGGAAGGGAAGGAGGAACCCAACCTATGGTTGGGTTGGCCTCACTTTGGGAAGTGAGGTAACCATAGGTGGGGTGGGTTGGGTTGCCCACACTTCTAAGAAGTGTGGCAACCCTAGGCCCACTTGGCTTGTGGTGGCCTCAATTGTGAAGTGAGGTACCCAAAAAGTCAAGAGGGTTGCAATTTGGGGGCTCCACCACAATTGGGTGGATTGGCACCCCAAAGTGCAAGGCTACACCCAATGTTGGGTGTAGTCCCAACCCAACTGTACACCACAATTGGTGTACAGTCACATGTGCTTAGCATGCTACAATATATATAATTCTAACACCGTGCACTCTGCTGCAAGCCGCTGCTGCGTCCGAGAACAGCGGGCCCGAGTGAAGCAGTTTCCAGCAAGTGCATCGCGCTCATTACAGGCTGACGTGGGCAGAGAACCTGTGAAGTAGTTGTCTGAGAGGCCCATTTTATTCAATGGAAGACCAGAAATGGGACCTGAGAGGTAGTTTTGATGGACATCACTGCAATTGACGAAAAAGAGACAGGAAGTATGGTGGTGAAGAGGGGTAGTAAACATGGGGTATTATACAGCAGGTTAAAGGCAAAACGTTATGCAACGAAATGAATGAAAATGTATCTGACGATAAGGGAAGAAGTGAAGCGAGGGATGAGGATATAATGCGAAGGATGACAAAGATGAGGTGGAGGAGGAGGAGGAGGAGGAGGAGGAGGAGGAGGAGGAGGAGGAGGAGGAGGAGGAGGAGGAGGAGGAGGAGGAGGAGGAGGGAGGAGGAGGAGGAGGGAGGAGGAGGAGGAGGAGGAGGAGGAGGAGGAGGAGGAGGAGGAGGAGGAGGAGGAGGAGGAGGATGAGGAGGAGGAGGAGGAGGAGGAGGAGGTGGAGGGGAGGTGGGGGTGGGGGAGAGGAGGAGGAGGAGCAGAAGTAGGAGGAAAACCAGGATCAGAAGGAAACCAGGACTACAAAGCAGGTGGATGGCAGCCAAATGAATGGAAGGACGCATACGAGAGAGGGTATAAAAGAGGATTGAAAGAAATAAGTGGATTGGAGAGAAATAAAAAAAAGGGAGTGCAGCAGCAAAGTCAAAGGCGACGTTTGGGAAGAGGAAAAAATAGAGGGCTTACAAATATCTCAGTTTGCGGAGGAGAGTGACAATGAAAGAAGGAATGGAACCACTGAGCTCATTGTTGTTAAGAGATCTGAGGGGAAAATGAGCTCAGAAGAAGACAGAGCAAGCCAGAGAAAATAGGATGTGGCGTGACGTGGACATGGCATCATGCCTCTTCCTCTTTTCACGACTCTGTCTCTCTCACTACCCCCTCAATCTCGCACGACTCTCCCACTCTCATTCTCGGTCAGGGAAAACAAGCAGATACAAGGCATTACAGGTATTCCAGATTTGTCAGGGTTGATACAATTGAAATATTTCCTCTGAGCTTGTTGCTGTCCATACTTCTGCAGTTGTAAACAAATGAAGACAGGATTTACAACATGGAACTGTGACAGCCGACAGCCAGGGAACAAGGAATTGACAAAGGAGGGCACAAATGAAGACATAGGATTTACGACAAAATGGAACTGCGGGTCTATGCAGGTGAAGAGATGAGGACGAGCCTAGTGGGGCTGTGGGTTGGGACTAGGCATGAGCAGGGAACCGAACTGCGATACAGTTTAGTGTGGTTCGGTTCGGTTTTCCACGAACTGAACCGTTTCTTTTTGCTTCGTAAATGAACCGAAGCAGTTTGCTGGTTCGTGCGGTTTGTTTTTTGCAAATTTCTGAGCCGCAACTGGCCTGGTCGTGTGGATCCAGATACAACTTAAACAACCACTACGTCGGAACTTATTTCAAACTTTAGCTCTCTCAGTGTCGCATAATACTCCTCTAACACCTGAGATTAGTATGTTTCTCATGGTTCTTCTTTAGGGTTGAGCTGGTAGGACCATAGTGAAAGTTCACAACAAACCGGTATGGTTCAATACCGAACCGGGCCGGTCGGCTGAACCGATTCGGTTTGTTAGCTATTTAAATGGACCATGCAAAAACTCCATGCAAAACTGGTTCGTTCACTAACTGGTTCAGTTCAATTGAGCATCAGTTCGGTTTTTGAGGGTATCTAAACGAACCAGTTTAGGCCATGTCACCAGTTTACGTACTGCCAGAAGACCCACCGAGAATGCCTAAGTTCTCTGCACGAGCAATCTCAGCAGTGAGGCTAGCGCCCAGTCCAATGGCAAGCTCTCTGTCGATGCGGTTCGCTGCCCTGTCTGGGTCAATTCCAAAGAAATCACTCTTCATCTGCTGGAGCTCGGCCAGAATGCGGATCATGGAGGGGCGGGAGGCAGTGGGCATGGCCGTGCAGCTGAGGGCAAGGCGAGCCATGCGCAGCACTAGATCGTCCGGTGCTTCCAATTGAGGGTCCTTGAATGTCGCCACAGCATTGGAGACCACTAGTGGAGCCACCTGCAGGAATGGAGTCAAAGGGTACTGATTTGCAATAGCAATTGTTCATCAGATCGGTTCACGCTGTTTATCATGGCATCTATGCATTGTCAAGGTTTCTTTAAGTCTGTCCTCGTTGATTTGCCTGTTCAAAGGAAATCTGAAACGTGATGTTTGATAAGAAGGGTGACTTACCCAGTGCTTGAGCGTGGTTTGGCCATCACCGTCCATGTGAATGGCCTTGCGTGCCGTAATCACAACCAGCATCACCACACCAAAACTGCCATGCAAGGCAACACAGCAGAGGGAGGACCGTGGAGGGCACAGATGGGCAGTGCTGGCCAGGACAATACGACCCTGCAGCGTGGATCATTTAAGGTATACTCTGTACTCAGCATGCAACAGTTGCTGGTGTGCCTCACAACAACGCTGTGTGCGCACCTGTGCACGTCTGCTGCAGGAGTGGCTTTCTGTGTCTTGAAGTAGGCAGGGTCCACATAGCCTGGTGTGCCCATCACTCGAGTGGCGGTCGCCGAAGTGCCGCCCCCCAGCCTCACAAGGCCAAAGTCTGCAATTCGAGCCTGTGAAATCAAGAGGAGTGTTCAGCTTATAAACAAACTGCTAGAGTAGGCCAGCTTGATAACAGGGATAATGATACACAAGGAATTACAAGGTATTTCAAAATCCACAAGGAGTATGCCGGCTACAGGAGTGTGTTTACCTGCATCTTGGAGTCAAGGAGTATGTTGGCGGGCTTGATGTCGCGGTGCACAATACCAAACTCATGCAGGTACTGCAGTCCTTGAGCCGCCCCTATCAGCACATCCACCCGCTGCTGCGCTGTCAGTGGCCTGGGGGCAGCTGGCAGGCGGCAAAAAAGGGCGAGCAGCAGGAGGCTAGGCATTGAACATGCATACTCAGCGTCTGTTGCTGCGCTGTCCGCAGCCTAGGGACATTGGGCAAGGCAGCTGCATTCTGAGAAATGCCAATAACAAGAAAGAAGATGAATGAAAAGCTTCAGAACGACACTATGCAAAGGGGGGAGGGGTTACCAGGTCCAATCCAGGCCTCGAGGTCACCGTTCTCCATGAACTCATACACGAGCACCTGCTCCATGGTGGCTGTGACTGCATCCACGTCCACACAATACCCCAGCAGCCGCACCAGGTGCGGGTGGTGCTTCGATGCCATCTCCTTCACCTGCCAGGCGCAAAACACGTGGCAACACGAAACTCGCCAGAAGAATGCCATCGAAGGCTCCCTATTTGGCCAAAAAGAACGTGTGCAGAGGAAAGCGATAGAAATGATCACGGCTGAACGGTGAAGGCGGAGCACGAGAGTGCGCGGGCCAGACCTCTCTGTGGAAGTCGTTGGTGAGCAGCTTGGCGCGCTTCACAGCCCAGAACTCAGAGGGGTCGTAGGGAGATACCCCCTTGTACACGTCGCCAAAGCTGCCACTTCCGATCCTGTTCCCCTCTGCCCAGTCCCCCGTGGCCCTCGCCATGTCTGCAAGGGAGTATCTGCGGCACACGTGAGGGTCCACCCCACCCATGCCAAATATTTGTGCGTCCCCTGAGTTTCCTCCACCTCCTCCTGCTCCTCTTGCCTGCAGAGCCAGAGCCGCTGCTGCCTCGGCACCTGGTTCTGCAACCCAGCACAACAAAGAAAATTGGGACCGGCCAAGGGTGTTTCGTTTGGAAGCTTTATTTATGCCCCATGTGATTGCTTGCCCCTCAGATAGTGACAACTGTCAGTAAGGCCTTTCCAGCATTCATCTGTGCATGAAAGTGGCGCTGTGGATCAGCTGTCAGCCTGTCATAGCAGCCTTGTCAGTAGCAGCAATCGTCCTCCACCCATGCCACAGCCGTAAGCCTCACCTGTGGGAGCAGGGAGTGCACGCTGCTCCGAGTGCTGCTTGCTGCGGGCTGCTCTCATGCACAGAAACGCAACCAACAGCAGCACAGCCACCACAGCAGCACCAGCAACAGCTGCAATGCCAATGATGGCACCCGTTGATAGGCCGGCTCCAGAGGTAGTTGAGGGCGGTGTAGAGGGGGGTGATGTGGTGGGAGGGGGCGGAGATGGAGAGGGGGAGGGCGCCGAGGTGGAAGGAGGTGCAGGGGACGAGGAAGGGGCGGGCACGATTGGAGGAGGCAAGGAAGGCGGGGCTAGACTTGGGGGAGATGAGGATGGCGGGGCTACAACTGGGGGAGATGAGGAAGGGGCAGGTAGGATAGGGGAGGGCGACGAAGGGGGAGCAGAGGGCGGAGGCGCCGAGGGTGGTGCAGCGGAAGGAGGCGCTGCCAGTGAAGGTGTTGCTGGGGGGTGCGGCAGCCAACGGGCGGGGTGGAGAAGGTGGTGGGACAGAGGGGGCAGCACAGACAGAGACACAGAGGGGTGAGGAGGCAGCTTTATTGACGATGCAAATGAATAGTTGCTGTGGATCTGCATGGAATGCGAGTGGATTGCAATGGTGCTCTTGTGGTGCCATACCACTAGAGGCTGACCTTCTAGCACGCATGCCCCGCAGAAGGAGCCGCAGAGCATGCAGGGGTTGGAAGGGTTGAGTGTATTGAGCACGCACGAGCCGGTGTCTGCCGGGCACACAAGCGAGTTACCCTCCGTGGTGCTGCATGGGAGTGGGTGGACGAAGCAGATGAGGGATGGTCTTGGCACGAGGTCTCTGTGTTGCAGACACATGATTTTGATAGGAAAAACATAATTTTTGGGCAGGCGAGCATTCTGGAAGGCTGCTTACACTGAAGTGAGCTTAGGCATTGATGCAAGGAACGTGGGGAAGCTCCCGGATAGCATGTTGTTGGCTGCATCGCTGGATAAAAGCCAGATGGAAAGCGAGTGAGAGAGGGAGAGACTGGATATGGGAGGAGTAGTAGTCGACATCTGCCAGTGCAGCGTACTGAGGGCAAGGCGAATGAGGATGCAGGGCTGGAACAGCTAGGGGTGATTAAATCTGATTAAAAATGCAGGCAAGAGATCATGAAGTGGGGTTTCGTTTTTTTTCACCAGGTCCCTATGACTTCGAGAGCATACCAATCCAGTCGCACCTACCACAATGTAACAACTATTATGATGCGGACAAGGTGGCAAATAAAGCACTATAAAGTGAGGCAAATCCAGTCACACCTGCCAGAAACTAACGCCTTTTATAGTTGGATAACGAATTATCAGGTGAGGCGTCAAGCTGACAGTTCTACAGGTGGAGTGGCAGGGCGTGCAAGGAAAGCAGAGACTGACAGCAGCTGCAGGTTGAGGAGCCTCTCGAACGATGCTGGAATCGACCCTGTGAGGCTGTTGCCGTTGATGCCACTGCCGAGCAGCACATGGCAGGGAAGAGACAAACCAACACATCACTTGGTAAGACCCTGTTCCACGCACACCACCATCACAGCTGCGCAGCTGTCTCAGTCACTTGATTAAGTGTCGACACTGGCAGCAGCGCCATTGCAGATCAACACGGCTTTAAAAACTATTCGGATTTCTAATGCCGAAAGACCAGGTATGTGGCCCTCTGGTCATCGGTGCGGGTGATCGGACGGCTCACAGGTACTTGAGACTGATAAGGTCACCAATGGAAGCTGGTATGGATCCCGTCAACAGGTTGTTGCGAATATAGCTGCAGTAGGGACACACACGAACCCAGTGGCAAATGCGGTGGATGATACGAGTAAAGATCTGAACGGGTCTCTTGGTGGTTGGGTGGTTGGCACAAAAGAGCATTCAGTGGAGCAGAGGCACTCACAGGTCTTTGATCCTGGTGAGATTCCCCAACGACTTGGGTATGGTGGACGTGAAGGCATTGCCACTCAGCCAACTGGTGAAGCGAGGAGGAAATGCGTGCAGCAGAGGGAGAATAATATTCTTGCGAGCATGCCAGGGCGAAGTGGACACAGGAATGGATTATAGAGTGTGCATATGTGCGTACAAGAGAAGCCATGGATCAACAAATGCAGCATGATGGTGCAGGTCGCAAGGTCCCCCAAGAGGCAAGGGTAAATTTGTAGTATCTCACTCACAGCATACACCATTTTTTAAGCCCCAATAGAGTATGCACATGAGCCTTGTGTACTGGACTCACAGGGACTCTAGTGTGGTGAGGTTGCCAAGGGAGTCCGGGATGGTACCAGACAGACTGTTGGAGGACAGAGTCCTGCACATGGCCAAATGGACACCGTATGCACATGTATGTGTGTGTATGTACATGTCTATGTGTGCACATGTGTGTGTGTGCGTGTTTTTGTGTGTGTGTGTGTGTGTGTGTGTGTGTGTGTGTGCGTGCGTGCGTGCGTGCGTGCATGCGTGTGTGCATGTGTGTGTGCGGGTCCGCACACATACACACCATGCGAGCAGCAAGAAAAGACGGTAAGTTCAGCGGGAGGGTGGCTAGCTCACTCACAGCACGAGCAAGGAGGAGAGGCCGGAGAGCGAGGCGGGGAGTGTTCCAGTGAGGCTGTTCTTCACCAGCTTGCTGTGGAGTGATGCACACAGAGAGGAAGCACGGTTCCATCGGCATAACTAGCGGCTCGCATGTACAGCAGCGAGTCATGCTGCTGCGATTCACCATCGGCCAACTTCACACTGAACATAATCAAGGCATTTCATCCACGCGGCCCCTCTCTCGCTCCAGCCAATATACAGGTATGCGCTTCAGTCAAGTTCATCTTACTTTGCTTCGCACCTAATGCTTCTGTCTGGATCATTTAGCGTTGCATGTAGACTCTTCAAATCTAAAGGAATACATGGAAATTGTGGATGGAGCACACACGAGGTGAAAATGTGGTAGGAGGGTGATTGGGAACGCACAGCTCTGTAAGGGCAGTGAGGCGCCCAAGGCCGAAAGGGATTGCGCCTGACAACTGGTTGTACTCCGCATTGCTGCTCCTCCATGCATGCACGTACATGAGATGGGGGGATGGGGCGACGGATGGGAGTGGAAGGAGAGCGTTGTGCCACTGCCAACGATCTAGTGTGAATTGCGTGACTGGTAGGGAGGTGCTTTGGTGGATGGCCATGAACGTCAACGAGAGAAAACGTTACTGCAAGCTTGAGAGGACACAAATAGCTGCTGCTGAGGTCATGAGAGCCTCCTGCAGTAGCAGTGCATGAAGCACATGCGTGCATGTGATGAATTCTAAACCCTTGCATCCCAACAGCTTTTACTGACTGATTTCTACCCAAGTCATTTGAGAGGTGAGAACGTGAGTCGGTTAGACGAAGTTTGGAAAGCAGTGCGTGTATGGTATGATGCACTCACAAGTATTCAAGTCTTGTCAGCTGTTCGAACGTTGAAGGGATGGAGCCTGTCAAACCGTTCCCGTACAATACCCTGGGATGGACATACATGCACAGCACAGCACCAACAAGGGCCACTCTTCGATGGACGCACAGAGCAAGCAAACTCCACAACGGCAAATGCACACCAAAAACAGACCAAAAAAAAAATGCACAGGCACTGCTCTTGGCGCTCTAAACACACAGAACCAGGATCGGAGCCACTTTCAGAGCCACGTTAGGAGCCACGCTCGTGCAGTGGCATGGAGGGGCACTGACAGGTTGGTGAGGTTGACAAGGTTGCCCAGCGATGCTGGGATGGAGCCGTGCAGCTGGTTATCCCCGAGCACTCTGAGCACCACATGCACACATGGGACGAGGCATGGGCACAGATAGAGTTGGCTCAAAAGCACACTGAGTGCAACACACTTGTCCACTTATGGGAAGAGGCACGAGCACTGCAATGACAACCACAGATGACTGCACCTCCAGGTTCCAACAGATGCGATACCGACGACCAGCAATTGACCACAGGCGCACTCACAGACTAGCAAGATTGGTGAGGTCGCCTAGAGATGGCGGGATTGACCCTGACAGCCCAGCTGAATCCAGTCCCCTGGCGATTCACGCACAGGGCAAAGGGCACTGGAGCTTAATGCCACTCCTGCTGCACCCGTGATGCTCCGTGGTATATCCAGGAATGCTATTGATGTGTTGCATAGAACCGTTAGGTTCATTCTTCATCCTATAACCCCATAAACTATAGGTCAATCAGATCATTCAGGTGATGTTTGTTTACAACAATAAATTTATCAGAGAGAACCCTCCTAGTATAGATAATAGAAGTATAAGGTTCAAAATACTCATTTTTACCCAATATTTAGGAAGTAGAAGCAGGTGGCATAGGGGCTAGCATGTAAGTTGTACCAGCCTCTATTTGTGCTTCAGATTTTTTAAACAGATATCTCATGCTTTTATTACTCTTCAAGCTTTATTACGATGGTCTCGAAGCCCTCTCCATGACAATCAGCTAATCCAGGGGGAACAAAATAATTATATAAAGTAAGGAAAAAAATACCAGAAAAAAAAGGGGGAAAAACAGAAAAACACACCAAAAAAAGGAGGGGGGGGGGGGGGGGGGAACCAACTTCATCCATTCTATCCGGAGAACACTTTGTTGCTATCAGTTTTTTCGCCCCGCCGTCGCTGTCCCAAATAAAGCAACAAACTTCACTGTCCCGTTTAAACCGCCATGCTACAGAACACCAAAGGCCCCCGTCTCCACGCCCCTCCCCCCTCTTGAAGGTGCAGCTCAAGACTACAACAAGGAAGCATTCCCCGCGGCACTGGAATCGTGCGGTTTGTGCGTTCCTCACCAGTCGGGGGCTGTGGCAGGGTGGGACTTACAGGTACATGAGGCTGGCAAGGTTGCCAAGCGATGCTGGGATGGAGCCCTCTAGGCGATTGCTGCCCAGAAATCTGGAGATAAGATGGGATGGATTCAGCAGACAAGACAGGAATGGAGATGCGGAATACCTGGGGGCAGATTCACCAGGAAAGATGTACGGCGATGTGATACTGTGCAGCTTAACATTTTCCAAGATGTCTTAAGCAAAAGTGGTGGCTAGGTACATTGTGTGCATGAATGCGCACACAAATATAGTGGCAACTTGATGATGGGGAACTTGGAAGCACAACCCCCCATACAAAACAGGCCAGGCCTTGTTGTGGGAGAAGAATCACAAACTGGACTGGACCGCTCATCATGCATGCCGCTTCTAGCGCTTGGCGGCAAATGCAGGGACCAATGCAGCAAGCTGGGTGGCGTGCGTGGCTTGGGGGCATTGGGCGTTGGTGCATGCATGCATGCGAGGTGCATGCATGCGAGGTGCACTCACAGGCTCTCGAGGTTGATGAGGTCGCCCAGGGAAGAAGGAATGGGCCCACTCAGCTCGTTGCGATCCAGGTACCTGCATGCACACATGCATGGGCGGTGCTATGGAGGTCTGATGCACTATGTATGTGTCTCAGCGCAGTGCTTTGGACCGGATTTATGACCCTCTGTTGGTTATAGTGCTTTAACAGAGAAGAGTAACATGAGCACTGCTACCAGTCATGCACGGACCATAGACACATGCAGGCAGGTGCCATGGACACATGCACCACTGCCAAAAACGCATGCAGTTGCCTCGATTGTGCTTCGTGAGCATAATAGACGGGGGTGTGTGCATGATGAAAGGGGGGCTCCGTGCAGTTAAGGTGCCAATAAGGGGTAGCGTGGAGAGGTGCAGCTAGAACGTCCACTCACATGGATCGTAAGTTGCGGAGATTGCCGATCGACGATGGAATAGTGCCATTCAACTTGGTTACAATCATCCCGCTGCCCACAGAGGGGAAGGAAAGGAAAGGGTTGGTTAAAAAAAAAGAAAAAAAGAGAGGCTGTTTTGCTGACAACGGTGTGTGGAGGGGTAGACAGTGCATCCACCGAGCACATAAGCACGAGTTTCTATCACGAAAGACAGTGGGAATCGCGATGCACCAGATGAGCAGTCAGGAGGGAGGAAACCCGCCCAGGTACCAAACCAAGCACTGGAAGTCCAAGTTCACTACCGTTTCATGAAGACAGGTCATGCCCATTGCAAGATTTCCCTTTTCTGTACAGTTGTATGTGACATTCGGTGATGATTACAGAGACAGACAAACTACACGAATGATGCACACATGTCAGATATGGGTTACCCACAGGTAGTAGAGGCGAGGGAGGCTGCCGATGGAATCTGGGATGGGCCCTGAGATGCTGTTGGTCATGATCTGACTGCTTGGAAGAGGTGGGAGCAACGGTCATACAACGGTCATAGCATGCCCATGGAGTATGCGGGATAGAAGAATGACAAGGTAGTAAGGCTCACATTGCATCGCTCAACAGATGAATCCAGCTTGCTCTTCTGTAGTGTAAGAACATGCGGGCGGGGACTTCTTTCACTCGATTTGCATCACGCTGCCCTCCAGAGTTTGCCAGTACTCACGTTGACTAGGAAATGCAGTGAGAGTGGTGGTGGCGGCACTGACATGACTTGAAGGCTGGTCATGGCACCAATGGTGGTGGGGATGGTGCCATTCATTTGGTTGGTGGTGAGGCCCCTGCCACAGCAAGTGCCAAGTAGGGCAGTCAGGAGTGCCACAGCAACCAGAGAACACTTGTGAGCGGCAGCAGTACCCATGCCACCACGGTGCCCTCAAGAAAGAAGCTGATTCAAGCGACCGGCACACATGCTGCGTGTGCATTAGCTAGCAACTTCCACCTGCAGTCTGGCTGGCAGATTAAGCTCTGACCAGGAGAACATGGGGAAGCTAGCAGCAGGAGTAGCACGGGGGATTGGGAGCCATGGCGAGCCGAAGTAGCACGGGGAATTGGGAGCCATGGCGAGCCGGAGTAGCACTGAGGGGGGAGGAGGGGGAGGGGTGAGGGGGGTGCGGAGAAGGGGGCCTGGGGTGGGAGAGTAATAGCAGAAGGGGACAAGAGAGGCAGAGGAGAGGAGCTTACAAGTTTGCCAGGTTGGTGAGGTTTCCTATGGATTCAGGTATGGAGCCACTCAGATGCGTTGTGTAGAAGGATCTGTCAGCCAGTGGGGTTGAGGCAGCGAGGAAGGATGATTCATGAAAGGCAGCACCAATAGTCCGTGACAGTAGCATTGGGGTGGATGGGATGAGGCGACCAAAGGCAACACCAGTGAGAGAGGACTATCCAGTGCGCACAGCTGATTGTGAGTCGACTCAAAAACCGGCTCACAGGTGGGATAGTGCTGCGAGGTTGCCAATAGAGGGAGGAATGATGCCCGTGATGTTGTTGCCGTTGATGGCTCTGATGGGCGACAGAGAGGGACGGTGGGAGGCATGGTGGAGCACAACCACGGAAGGCAGGGCGGAACAGTGGGAGGCGTGGTGAGGGAGGTGCGGAGCTGTGGAGCTTCTGTGCACAGTCATGTGCATGATGGTATCTGGTCATTGCATGCATACATGCACACAGGTGGCTTGGAATGCATACATATGGCATGAAAGCAGATAGGTCGGACGAGGCAGGTCGCACGAGGCAGGTCACAGGAAGCTAGAGGAGCTCACTCACAGGTAGACGAGGTTGGTGAGGAGAGTGATGGAGTCAGGAATGGAGCCTGTCAGCCAGTTGTCCCCTAGCAGTCTGAAAGGTGAATGAAATGGTTTAGGGTTCAGGGTTTCAGGTATTAGGGTCCACCACCCCAGTGCCACACCTCCAGTGCCACACCTCCAGTGCCACACCTCCAGTGCTGCATCATGGCAGTGGCCGTCACGCAAGCCAGCTAAGTCCTTGTTCTGATTTTTTTTTCAGCGTGTAGGTTTGGAGTTTGACATGTACTTGACTGAGAATGAGTGAGGTTGAATAATAATCTGCACAAACGTTCCAGACTGCACCCATAACCCCTACACGTCTTGTTATCCTTACAGTGGGACAACACATGCAAACCATCGGATCTGTTTAGGTCGACTTACACCTCCTCTGCCTTTCAAGTTCAGACATCCTCTGTCCTCGGTCCAAGAGTGGCAAAAACCTCGTTCCCCTCGACTACCCTTTCTCCCATGAGCCACTATTGTCAACCTTCCATTACAATCGCATCTGCTCTCATGGCCCCTTTCTCTGTCCACCAGCACCACCTCCCAACACCACCATTCGCCTCACCCCGAGAAGTGAACCCATCTTCCTTGGTTGCTCAAACCATAGGCACAGGGTACCTTACCATCGTACCTTGGCAACAGCGTCACATGCTGCACGTAATATCCTGTGTGGGGACAATCTTTAGAAAGGCTTCACAAAGACCTTTCACCATACGCACCCTGTGATCCACTGTTCCTCCTCATTGGGTACTATGCACGTTTGAATACTTCCTTCGCCGGTCCCTCAGTACCCCAGATAATACTTCTAGCATGGTAGGATAAGATTCTGTGAAATGAATGATCGGCTGCCGCCAAACAGGAAAGAGATTTTGAAACAAGGCAAAGGCGATATTGTGCGCAGGCAAGTGCGTGACAGGTGTCTGGTGGCAAAGCATGCTTGTGGCATGGATTGGTGGGGAAGAGACGGACAGAAGAGCTCACTCACATGTAGACGAGGTTGGTGAGGAGGGAGATGGAGCCAGGGATGGTGCCCGTCAGCTCGTTGTACTTCAGCTGCCTGCCAGATGAAATGCAGCAGAGGTGGTAAGGAGGGGGAGAGGGGGGTTGCATGCTGATATGCGTGCTCAGGCGGCTCCCCAACGATGATGAAGCAGGGAATAGAAGGGCGTGGTCTTGTGGTAGGGGGCGCACCCATGCCCCCCCAGGACGGTAGCCCTTGGGGAAACCACTTGGGGCCAGCAAGGGAGGGGGAGAGGGGTTGCAAGCTGATTCGCGTGCTTGGGCCGGGGCAAGGCAGAGCTGGAGAGCAGTGCAAGAGCTATGACGTTCACTTGTGGTGAATAGACTTGTTACAACTTGTGCTCCTTGGCACGCACCTAGCAGCGCCCAGCCTAACACGCAGCCTAGCACACAGCCTAGCCTAGCACGCAGCATAACGCACAGCCTAGCACACAGCCTAGCACACAGCCTAGCACACAGCCTAGCACACAGCCTAGCGGACAGTCTAGCACACAGGCTAGCACACAGGGTAATGGCATGGACTCATTAAAATTCACAAGGGGGTGGGGCCAGTCTCGCCTCACAGGTGAGTGAGCTGAGCGAGGTCGCCAATGGAGTCAGGCAGGGGGCCGCCCAGCGTCACATTCTCCATGGTGCTGTCAGTGCAGTGCACAGGAGCACAGGCAGGGGCAAATGGGAACAGGAAGGCAGGAGGAGATACAGGCAGGCGTGGGTGCATGGAAGTTGGGGAGAGCTGGTGAGGAGAGGGTTGGGGAGCGGGCTGTGCCTGCGAGAGGGCAGGGCAGTGGATATTAAAACGGGCGATGCCATGGTTGCTGTTGACGGTAGTGGAGGAGGAGTGTGGGGCGCGAGACACGAGGGGAAGTGGTGGCAGTTGCATAATGGTGCCAGTGGAACACATGGATGGCATGGAGAACAGCGAGATGCGTGCACAGCGGGAGACAGAGGAGAGGATAGAAGAGGGTGAGAGAATAGGAGAGGCGAGTAGGGGCGCAAAATAGTGATAGGAAGAAGGAGGACGCGGTGGGTATGGAAGAGGGAGGGGGAGTGGAGGTGGGGTGCAGTGTGCATTCATTCGTGCCACCCATTTTTCACCGCCGTTTAGACACATACCTGCACCCTCCCCTCACCACCCCCACCTACATGTCTATGATCATGCCTGCAGTATCGCAAGTGAGGTAGGAAGCGTCCTGGCAGTTGCCTCCAGCCGTCCATCCCCCAGGCAGGTTCATGCCCCATGCGCTTTGGCAGTCCGAGAGAAAAGCATCTACGGAAGGAAGGGGGCAGGGAAGAGGAAGCAGGGTTCGCGAGTTATGACAGAAGCGCGTGTTGCGCCAAAAGCGCGTGTTACGCCAAAAGCGCGTGTTACATCACAAGCGTGTGTTATGCCACAAGCGCGTGTTACGCCAGCATGTGGCATGTGTCCTCTCAACCTGTTCTGCTCGCATGGCCGGAAACCTGTTGGTGAATCACCTTGCGGACTGTGCAAGCAGGGATGTGGCTCTGCATGTTCCTGCCCCAACGATAATGATGCAGGGATGGTTTCTTCAATATACTGGAATAAATGGGCGTGTTTAGTAGGTAAAGCAGGCGAACCCATACCCGAGGACGGCAGACCTTGGGGGGACCACTTGGGCCCATCTCAGTGTCCCCTTCCCACAGGTGCAAGGTTTCTCCTGGCTACCTCTGAGAACGTTACCCCAAGCCTCCGTCTGGGGGGTGTTTGGCGCTGCGAGGGGGATGTTCGGCGCTGTGAGGGGGATGCTTGGCGCTGCGAGGGGGATGTTTGGTGCGGCCTGTCCAATGAGTCACTTTTTCCTTTCCACGGCGACTCCGAGGGTCGCTACCGTGAGCCGCCGCGGTACCTATGCAGTGGTAGCGTTGTCAACCCCGCCGCACCGCACAAGAAGCGCGTGTACATGACACCCCACGCGGCGTGGAGATGGGCTTTTTAACTTGGTGCTGGGATGAGAGCGCGTTTGCGACGAGGGGCGTACTACTTGCGAAAAAGGGGATACTACCTTGCGACGAATCGAAGGTCTGCGCGGATGCCAGGAAACTTGAAAGCGCGCTCGCCACGAAGAGAAGCGCGGCGAGCCCGGCGGGTGAATGCAAATGATTCCGCGGCATGGGGATGATGTACGTTTTGGAATGACGCAGAACGAACTACCGCGCGCTCGAAGCGGAAGCTTTTTTTAAGAATCTAGTAG